CTCTCTCTCTCTCTCTCTCTCTCTCTCTCTCTCTCTCTCTCTCTCTCTCTCCCTCTGTGTATATGTGCGTGTGGGTCTGGCACACGTCAGAGCGCGCATACCCACTCTCCCACACACAAAGACACACATAAACTCTTTCTTTTATTCTCTTCTTTATATTTATAGGCAGCTGTGTATCCGCATGTGCGTGTTTAGTATAGATATATAAATGAAATATAAAATGTGCTAAGCAAACAAACGGGTAGACAGACTATGGGAAAAGATTCTCCTCTAGATCAAACACACAGGGCGTCATGGAGGAGATACCACCGAGTCCTGGGAAGAGAACTTAAAGCTATGAATATGAAAATTAGCATTTTGAGTGTTGCTTGTTCACACCACTTAAGAATTCATACTATTTATACCTCGAAAAGAAGGAGATACGCTCTACTCTTTTATTTCCGGGGCTGCTTCTCATGTTTCTCTAATGCAAATAGTTTTCTACTCGTTATTATACCGGAGACACTTTGGTCTCCTGCTCTTCAAGCTTTCATGCTTGCTGAAGTTTACGCTGTAAACGTGGGTGTTCAAATTTGTCAACTTTCTTTACCTTTCTAAAAAAAAAGTGCGGTCTTTTCATCTCCCCTTTTTTGGCGCCGCGTCATCTTGCCCCTATGGTGTTTTGGCGCGAACTGCTTTACTTCTTTGACTTTGGGGTTTGGGATAAAATATTGTTTCGATATAGAAACCGTAAGTCCATACAAACCCTTAGACCATACAAGGGCGATGATCGAGGTGTTTACATCAGCATCGACCGGCTGGATGATACACGCATTCAAGTCAGAACAATAACGGTTTCCCGTTATACAATGTTCTTTCTCGTCTAGCGAATGCCTGGCACCTGTCCTTCGTTTCTTTGACTTGTTGACCGGCGTAGGTTGTGTACTGGTTAGGTCTATGCTTTGCTCACAGTAAAAGTTAGTTCAATTCCCACGTGGAGAAGATATTGTATTTTGTTATTTATAATAATACTTGCCTTTTCTGGTAGGAAGCAGCCCTAATTGACCCTATGTGGCAGAATCAAGGAACTCCTCTCCAGGAAGGCCCCCCTCCCCCTTTTGTTTTTCACTCTGGCGCGCAGGCAGACACGCAGATACGCAGACACGCAGACAGACACACACAC